AAAAAAGTCAGAATCCTGAGATTAAAGTCAGAATTCTCAGAAAAAAGTCAGAATTCTGAGATTAAACTGACTTTTTCCCCATATTAAACTGAAATAAAATTTAAAAATCAGTTAACTTTTTTTTTTCCAGTGGCCCTAAACCTCTTCCGTACATCAGCCTTTTAGGCCCCGTCCACACGAAGTCAAAACGAACACGAAACGCTAATATTTTCCAGAACGTTTGTCGTAAAGACGGAGACGTAAAATAAATGTGATCGACCACACGAATACATGAAAACGCTGCAAAATGTATGCGAGGCCTGTAAGTGGCGCTGTGGTGCCAAAGCAAAAATAGGCGACGAAATGTTGGGCATGCGCACTAATATTTATACATGGTTGCCCTGCGGGTCCATTTTCGTGGTTCAGTCAAATTCAGATGCTGAACTATGTCGTCGATATTGCTCTGTTCTTCCTGGAGATATTCCAGAAGAAGAAGATTCTGTTGTAAGCCCGACAGCAGGGTGAGCAGCATGAGCAGCAACCATTCAAAACAGTACGGCGCCATTGTTGTTGTGATACTGTGTCGCGCATGCGTGTTTAGAGACGCAGTATGACGCATGCGTGTAAGAAAAAAAATGCGGTTAGAGCTTAAAGATGGAAACGCGAAAACGGCGTTTCAGAATCTTCCCACTCTGAAGGCTGAATAAAAAAAAGATTGTTTACAGACCCCCGAAACGCCGGCTTTATATGGATGAGAGGCTGGTTTGGTGAAAAATGTGTGCGTTTAGGCCAGGGTTCGGCTTCGTGTGGATGGGGCCTAAAGCTAGTTTGAAATATTACATTTCAAAAACGATCTAGAAATAAGTAAACATTTCTTCAATTTATCCTCATTTCCCCTTAATTTGAGCACGTAAATAACATGGTTTGCCAATGGAATGAGTATTTTTACTCTTTAAATAAGATAATCAGATAATATGTACTTGAAATAAGACAATGTATCTTTTCTTCTTGTTTTAAATGTAAATTGTCTTGTTCCATTGACACAGTGTCTCCACTGCTTACTTAATTCAAGGAAAAATGCACTTAGTTTAAGAAAAAAAGGATTTATTTAGATTTCATTTTTTTTGCAGTCACTGCAGATTCATGATGCACTGGAAAAAATAGAAATCTAACTGAATCAGTTTCCCTTAAAATAGGTGCATTTTTCTTGAACTGAGGAGGTAAAATAGACATTTTGCCAATGGAACAAGACAATTTACACTTAAAGGAGAATTCCGGTTTTTAACACTTTTAGCCCATTTTCTGTAGTGTCCAGGATGAAATCGAATGATCGACACCAAAATGTTGACAATTGGTCCTGTCTCTGCTATTTGGCTCATGCAGAATCCACCCCTGGCTGCTTCAGAATGGCTTCCATAGTGCATGTCCGATAATGTCCTTAAAACAACCTTAAATGTTCTTTTTTTAAAATATGCTACTCACCGGGTCGTCAGCGCTGTTCAATGACGTTCCAAAAAAAGTTTCGTAAAGAAAAAACGTTCCTGTAGTGTTTTATTTAGCATTTTGTAAATCCCATTGAGTTCTGTTGGAATAGTCAATATTCCCCTGCCACCGGAAACGGAAAGGGGGCCTGTTTACGATCAGTTGTAGTCTTTTCGCTTCACTCTGTGTACTCCGACGTCGAGAATCAAGAATCCACCTTTCGTATTCCATTTTCAGAGTTTTTTAAAGTGTTTAACAGAGACGTTAGCACCTCGACGTCGGAGTACACAGAGTGAAGCGAAAAGACTACAACTGATCGTAAACAGGCCCCCTTTCCGTTTCCGGTGGCAGGGGAATATTGACTATTCCAACAGAACTCAATGGGATTTACAAAATGCTAAATAAAACACTACAGGAACGTTTTTTCTTTACGAAACTTTTTTTTGGAACGTCATTGAACAGCGCTGACGACCCGGTGAGTAGCATATTTTAAAAAAAGCCAGTTTAAGGTTGTTTTAAGGACATTATCGGACATGCACTATGGAAGCCATTCTGAAGCAGCCAGGGGGGGATTCTGCATGAGCCAAAAAGCAGAGACAGGACCAATTGTCAAAATTTTGGTGTCGATCATTCGATTTCATCCTGGACACTACAGAAAATGGGCTAAAAGTGTTAAAAACCGGAATTCTCCTTTAAAATAAGACAACACAATGTCACAGTGTATGTTATCTAATTATCTAATTTTAACACAAAAAATACTATCGCATTAACCTATCAAATTAAGGGTAAATACACTTTATTTAAGACATTTTGACTTATTTCTAGATCGTTTTTTCCATTTTGGCTGAAAAAGTTAGTACACTGCAAAAAAGCGAAATCTAGATGAGTAATTTTTTCTTAGAATAAGTACATTTTTCTTGGATTGAGGAGGTTAAAGAGACGTTTTGCCAATGGAACAAGACATTTTACACTTAAAATAAGAAAACACAACTACATTGTCCTTTTTTAAGTGCATATTATCTACTTATCTTATTATAAGAGTAAAAATTCTCATTCCATTGGCAAATTATCTCATTTACCTTCTCAAATTAAGGATAAATACACTTAATTTAAGACATTTTTACTTATTTCTAGATTGTTTTTGCAGTGTACCAGAGCAATAATATTTGCACTGGAAAAACGATCTAGAAATAACAAAAAATATCTTAAATTAAGTGTATTTATCCTTAATTTGAGTAGGTAATTGAGATGGTTTGCCAATATAATGAGTATTTTTAATCTTAAAATAAGATAATTAGATAATATGCACTTGAAATAAGTCAATGCAATTGTGTTTTCTTATTTTAAGTGTAAATTGTCTTGTTCCATTGGCAAGATGTCTCTTTTACCTCCTCAATCCAAGAACAAATGCACTAATTTTAAGAAAAAATGACTTATCTAGATTTCTATTTTTTCCAGTGTGGACTTAAAGGCTCCAGACTTGTTTGCTTCCAAACTGCCCTTTTATTCATCCGTGTCTGAAAGTTTCCTAATGGGAAGAAAGCAGATTTTAGAAACAGGATTAAAAGGCCGCTTCATAAAGCTGATCACTAAGCCCTTAAATGAGCAGCTTTTTATCATCTATCATCATCGGTGCTTCTTGCATGACTCCTGTCCTGGGCGGGCCTCTCCTGTTGCCATGTTTTTGTTTTTACAAAAACAGTACGGGATTCATTGATAACAGGCCATTTTTTTCTGCTATTCCAGATCAAAAAAACGTCCCTAATTTAAAAACAAAAAGAAAACCAGGGTGGGGTTTTTTGTGGCTTTCTATTCAATTTGGGTAAAAATAAGTAGTGAACAAGTTAATGCTTGCTTGGCAAATATTTCCATGAAATTCACACCAGATATTGAGAACACGTGCTCCACACGCACAAAGAAATCAAAACAAATGATGTCCATCGCTGAAACCATGTTCAATAAAAGAGGTTTTACACACAGGATACTTATTGTACTCATGAAGAAAAGGAAATATAATCCCTGAGGATTTAGAGAGCAATCCTACTCCCATTCCGTGCAAATTAATCTTGGCTTGCTCAGACCTAAATGATGGCCTATAAAATCTTTATTATTGATTTCTCTGTATGTGAGCTTTGTCTGTGTTTTAACTAACATCTGGACTTTATTTCCTCTCAATAGTCCAATTAGCTGCATATTTACTGAGGAAAAACTGTATTTTGAATTTGTGCTAATCAGTTGCAGCTTAGGGGACTTAAATTAGCCCTTAAAATTACTACGGAAACAATTTCATATCCAATGCCAACTTCAGCATCATTACTGTAGAGTCAAGGCACTCACTCACTCACGGAGGATAAAAAGTGCCAAAATTAAATAAATAAATACATGCTTTAAATAAATAATTAAATGTGTCAATAATTAATTAAATGTGGAATTAAATAAATAAATGTGTCATTCATTCATTAAAACCACGTCACTAATATTAAGTGCCACAATTAAATAAATAAATACAGCGATAAACAATTAATTAAATGTGTAATTCATTAAATAAATAAGGAATTAAATATATAAATGTGTCATTAATTTAATAAAATATGTCTTCATTTTATTAAAACAATATATATAATTATTTCAGTGTGCATATAATTATTTCAGTGTGCTGTATTTATTTATTCAAATGTGGCACTTTATATTAGTGACGTGGTTTTAATTAATGAACGACACATGTATTTATTTAATTCCACATTTAATTAATTATTGAGACATTTAATTATTTATTTAATGCTGTATTTATTTATTTAATTTTGGCACTTTTTATCCTCCATACTCACTCACCCTGCTTTTGCAAATAGAAAAAAAAAAAAGTATCCTGGGATCAGCTGAATGAAAACGAGGAGTTTTATTGTTTAAATCAAGAAATGAATCATAGGCATCTAATCAGATACCAGCTTCAGAGACATCAGAAACCATAAAAATATGTCTTACTCCGCACTATTATTGTTTGTTGGCGTCCTGTAGTCTGTCACTTTAGGAAGAATGCCATATCACACACATCAACTGCCTTTTGGTTCACTGGCCCTTGCTTTAACTGTCACCAGGCAAATGTCTGTTTGTGATACTGCCAAGGAGTGGGTGTGTTCTTAGTTTATTCCCTCTAAATGGTTACCCACAGGGAAATCAGGGAAGCTGATAAGTTTCACCCTCTAATTAAACACGACTGTCTGGTCTGATTGCTAAAGCTGCAGCTTATTAAAGCAAACGGCTGAGCTGAGGCAGGAAGCCAGATAAGGGGGGGCCGTGAGAGCTATCTGCGGTCGACCTCGGTGGGATGTTTGCAAGGATTAACTGGAGATTTCTCCCACTATGGCAGATAAATAGAAACCCAGAAGGGAAAGAGTTTACCAGATGGGATAGTTTTGGTGATGTTTATGGAGAAAAACCTGGTTAGCGTTAGCAGCAGGACGACATTTTGACCGTATTGTTAGCTTTCTGATCAAATAGGAAAAGTTGGATGGTAAGTCTCAGAGAAAACGGTCCCAGTATTAATTAAATATCAGTTTATTCTTATAATTCAAGCATAATTACAACATGTAAGTAAATTGAAAGAACAGAAAACAATTAGAAACCAAATCATAAAGTTCTAAAAGACAGAACAATGTTTAGACATTTTCATTAAAGCATTATAAGTCTTGCAACATTAACATTGGGATTATAGTATTGTACATGTTTTCATATAATCTCATCTTTTGTGTTTGAACAAAACAATCGGCACCTAAATGCAGTCCAGATTGAGTCCCCCCCCCTTCATTAGATCTGTCAAACTGATTTTTAAAAACAGTTCCCATAGCACTGAGGGGTTTTCCCAGGAGTTCTCATTCTTGCCGCAGGGTAGCTTTCATCTACACTAGGGTCATGACCTTCAGGGAGGCAGGCTGGAATCGCCGGATCTTCTTCTTCAGGGCTCTGGAAGCTTTGATGCGACAGGCCGAAGGCTCGGGGCGCGGTGGGAGCTGGCGGAGGGGCTGTCCAGCTGCAGTGGGCCCCAACGCTGCCTCAGCCCAAACCATACCTCCCTCCTCCTCATCGTGAATCTCCGGGTCCCCCTCATCCAGGGACAGGCTGCTGTCAGACTCTGAGCAGGACTGGGAGCTCTGACTGGACTCGCTGTCTCCGAAGCGGTTGGTGGTGTTGTCGCTCATCTCGCCTTCGCTGCTTTCAGCAATGGTGGAATGGAACAATGAGGCGCATTCAGCTGAATATTCAGATTCGCACCGGGGTGGGTACTGACTGGTCATGTACATGGGTGCTGGGGGGTACCTGGAGTTAAGACTTTGGAGGAAAGAGTTAGAGGTCATGGCGTAGTGGAAAGGATGCGAGGCTCCCATCCAATGACCTGGCTTGCCACTGATACTGCGGACCATCTGAATGTTCTCTAATGCCCGAGCATGCTGCTCCTTTGAACTCTGGGGTAGAACAAAGGGGGCCTGGTATATATCCGCATCAGATTGCCATTTGGGGCCGGCCTGTCTCCTTTTTCTTTGCTCTACTGGATGCTCATACTCCACGCACTGTGGTCTACGGCTTTTGCCGAGTTTGGAAGAAGCCGGATGCGGTTTAGGGTGGACTTTGTGGGTGATTTTGAGTCCGGGACTGTAGAGACTGGAGTCAGAGCCAGAGCGCTGTCTGTGCTCCTGGGTTTGCCAGGTACTGCCCCTATCGCCGACTTTTCCTTTTCTCGACCTCCTCTGCTCCACCTTGGCGCCCACACTGACTTCCTTGGTTCTTTCACCGGACGAAAAGCTGTGCTGTTGTCTCAACACTCGCGGCTTGTCTGAGCTTTTCCGTTTAAGTTTCACAGCCTTTGTTTTACGGTCTGCTTGTCTAACCTTGACCTTCTGAGAGGAGGCTGGGACAAACTTGGCGTGGACAAACTCAGGTGAGCGCGTGTGAATGGCCTGGACCTCACAGCTTGGACTGTCCTGTGTGCTTAAAGGCTGAACAACAGCTGGTCTTTGCCAGGGAGTCTTCCTCATCTCTGGAGCATCTCCGTACTTTTTATCAGACTGATTCCTTGGTAAACTTGTGTTTTCAGTTTGTTGTCTTTCCTTCTTCTTTAGGGTTTGGTACGCAACCTCATCAGAGCTGTACTCCTTTGTGGCAGCACGATAGGAGTACCTGCAGTGAACTTCTGGTGCTCTCTGTGACTCATTGCTTTTTCTATCTGTAGACTCTTGGCTGGAGTAATTCATGCAGTGCTTCATCTGGTCAATGTTTTCTGCAATATCATTGGTTTTGGTTTGGGGTGGAGTCAGACTAAGCTCATGTTTTAAGGCCACTTCAAATGACATATTTTCAGCTGGCTTCCTGTGACGGCCACCCTGTGTCTCCACAGTTTCTGCAACTGCATTAAATTGGGCTTTGCTCAAGTTGCGCTGGAGCAGCATGTCAATGTAACCCATGGTTTTGTCTTTGTAAGCCATTTGGAGAGAGTCGAAACCAAAGGCTGAGGCTCCCTGGCCCTCTAGGAGTGCCGTTGTCCCGTCTTCAACCCCAGGGAAAAAGATTGGGCTCTGGAGAGCCACGGCATGCAGGGGACTGGGGTACTGGTAGACTTCAGCCCCACCACAGGACTCCAGATTGCGCTGGAATTTGGGGTCCACGGGGGAGGTCTTCTGTTTTGGACACATCGGGGGTTTCTTCGCCTCCGCAGATCTGAAGCAGCCCAATCCTTGAGCCATTACTCTCTCAAGATCACCTGATACAGACAAAAACAGTCATCAACTTTTGACTCCCTTCATGAAGCCTATGTTATTAGGCAGTAAAATATGTGTTGAGATACTGAGTAAATAATGTAAATAATGTGTTATTACCTGTTGACACCGGTCTCGGCCGTGTCTGATCCGTGCCTGCTGCGCTCGCTCGGATCCTGCTGCTGCCAAGATGGAGGCCTGTGGCTCTTGCGGGGCTGGGCTGGCCAGGGCTCTCATCAGCGGAGCGCCGACAGCAAACATCAGCCTGCGGTGGGGGGCTAATGTGACAGCTGGTTGGGCTCAGGGGGATGAGGCTCGTTTGGGAGGATGACAGACACTCGCTGTACACAGAAGTGCAGGAGTTGGACCGGGAGCAAGATCCACCATCGCTGAGCTCGTAGAAACCTGGAGAGAGCAGGAACCATTTCCAAGACTGGGCGTTTAGTGGGATCATGTGAATGGTAACTCTTAGCAGGATCTCTAATTGGTAGTTAAGTGTGCGTCATTGTACTCTGTGAAGGACACACCTGAGCTGGGCCTGCTGTCAGTCTCCAGTTGATCAGCGGAGGCTTTGCTCACATCCAACCGTAGCTCACTGATCTGCTGGTCCAGCTGCTGCAGGTGAGTCTTCAGGCCAACGTCCTGCTTCCGTAGACGAGACTGGAAAAAATGGAGAGAGAGAGAGAGCTTTTAAAGGTGAGAGTGACGTAATATACAGCCCTGCCATAGAGGAGGGCAAACTAGAGATTCAAAATATATCAAAACACTGTCATCCTTAATATAAATATCTGCAGAATATCTCAGTAATGAAAGACACCTGAGTGGGTGAAAGATGATGATGATGTGGCTTATTCACAGCCTGTATCTCTGTCACCATATAAACATTTTGCAACTGTATTTCTTAGACTATTATAGAACCTAATTAATGCTTTTAAATGCTTTGGGAATTATTTACAATCTATTATTTACATTTGCAAATACCGTATATAATGTAATGAGTGGGACGTAATTGGCACCAGTGAACCAGAGGAGAGCTCTGATGTAACATGGTTTACCTTCTACTTTTGTAGCTCTGCTTAGGGCTGAAACAATTAATCGCTATTAATCGATTATTCAAATAATCGTCAACTAATTTACTTCTCGATTAACTGTCAACTGGAGGATAGAGACTCTAAAACACGCCTTTAGAGGACAGAGCGACCAAATTCCAGTAGTTATTAGATCAAAATTGTAAAAAAAATTATATACATCTACATATTTTAAATTTAAGATAGAGAAAAACATTTTCATCTGTCAACAAGCTCTACACTTTCCTTCTTTAAGGAAATCTTTTTCTATCCGATTATTAATTGATTAATAGAAAAAATAATCAACGGATTATATGATTAACTAAAGGAGTTAGTTTGTTATTTGGCCTATTCAAGGAACCACGTTTTAATTTCATTTTAGATGCAAAAAAACAAACAAAAAGACCTTTTTTGGCTCTGTCAGAATCTGCGATCATAATCTAGGAGATTTCATAAGAGTAAACAGTAGGGATGGGAATCGAAAACCGGTTCCTGTTCAGAACCGGTTCCGTATTTTTCGATTCCATGGCATCGTTTGGCAGCTCGCTGAATGATTCTTTTTTCGATTCCCGCAGCACCAGAGCCGAGAGCGCCGGCTCTGGGGAGCACGACTTACGTCACGTTTTTTACGTAAGTTACGCAACTTACGCAAGTTACGCAAGTTACGCAAGTTGGAAGAACTATTCGAGGAGGAAGACAACGTGCTGCGGTCACTTTGTGAATCAAAGCCCCGTCTTTCCTTAGCCCAGAGGGTAGATCAGGAAATCCAGCTCTATAAAAGCTTGCCCTCCATCCCCTGCAGGGATAGCGCCACACTGTGGTGGTGGAACAAGCAAGATACGCTGCCCTTGCTATCTGACTGGCTGAAAACTACCTCTGTGTGCAGGCTTCCTCCACCCCATCTGAGAGGGTGTTCTCCACGGCTGGAGACACCATAAGCGCTGAAAGATCCCGTATCCTTCCAGAAAAAGCAGATATGCTCATCTTTCTGCAAAAGAACTGTTAATTTTCCATACTACTGTTTTATAATTAGTATTTTTTGTTATTTAAAATAGGTTATTATCCCATCATTTGTTATTAGACATTGTTGGTTATTAAGTTTGTTCTTGTATTCATTTTTCATTTAAACACAGATGTTACTCCAGTTTCACATTTCCTGTGGACATCTTGATCTTTTTGAGTTTGTAAGATTGTGCAATAGTTAAGTAAACAAAGTTGATTCTGATAATCAAACTGTTTGTTCTCCTTTTTCCCCCAAATTGGAATCGAAAAAAGAATCGATTAAGAATCGAATCGTTTCATAGAATCGAAAAGGGAATCGGAATCGTGAAAATCTTTTCAATTCCCAACCCTAGTAAACAGGCCCAAACAAGTTACCCCATCCCCCATGATGCTATCTTTAATTCTTTATTACTTGTTAAGAAACTTAGCAAAAAGAGCAAAAAACTAACATACATTGTTATGATACATGTATACTTTTAATACTTGTTTAGTTGTATGAATGGAGAGAAATGAGGAGCAAAATGGCAACGGATGAGATCAGATCAGCGGCTCAAGTGGTAAGTCACCCGTCCGGCAAACAGGAAGCCGGCTGGGGGGGGAGGAGCTGCCACTGTGGGTCCTTAGGCAAGACCCTTCACGCTAATGCCTGCTTAGTAGAGTGGCGGCCTAGCGGTTAAGGCATAGAGGTTGGAATCCAGAGGTTAACCCCACCCCGGGAGCCGTACAATGGCAGCCCACTGCTCCTTAAAGGTGCAGAGAGTTCATTTCGTTGTTCTTTACTTGTGACAGTGTAATGACAATAAAAGCTGGAATAAATAGAATAGGTGGATGATAGTGAGGTTTCTAAAAACTCATTTCAGCCCAATCAGACGACTCAAACTACAGAAATGGGTTCACTAAAGGAGGATAAAGTGTTTTCCAACTTGAATAATTCAATTTTTGAGGAAAAATAAGACATAAAAACCTCACATCCTTCAATCAGCCAAGCAGTTCTGCTGTAATGGAGTCAGGTTGGCGTGTTTCTAGGAAAGCTTGGGATTTACTGAGGGGTTCCTTGTTATACAACATGTGAGGACCACTGCTCTAATGTACTGCAATGAAGAAACCAAAACAGCTCCGCTGTGGCTGATGATTAACCCCAGCAGGACATGGGGGAGCATGGAAGAGGCACTGGTGGGTAACTCATTCCCCCCCCACAGTGAAGGCCTGGCCATTGTGTAAACTAGCAAAAGAGGAAAAGCTTGGTAGGAAGGGGGGGTTAAGCACTGCAGGGGAGGTACTGTTACAGCAGACCTTCAAACTACATCTGATACTTACTTCCTGCCATTTGCACTATTTCTAGTCTTTTAAAATCTCCAGATTAGGTGAATTGTGCAGATGGGAGCCCGGCTTGCACAAACACAAGAGATAATTTGAACCTTATGTTGCCCATGCACTCCATGACACATCCTTTGATGCATCTGCCCGGTTCTTCCCTAGATGTCAAGCATAGCACATTAATCCCTGCGCTTCCCTTGAATGATTTTACCAGCTACATGGAAAAAGCTTGTCATGGAAAACTAAACAGAGCCAGCTGTCTGCAGCACTCAGGAGGGCCTCCAAGGGATGAGATTCTCCCCTCATTCACTGCAGAAAAATCCACATTTGTTGTTATTTCCTGGCATTTAGTGGTTAATGATTGAGGCTTGCCCTCGTGCACAGGGCGCGCGTGCACGCAGTAACAATTAAGAAGCCCTGTGGGGGCCGCAATGAACCTTGATTTATGACATCTATCCCGCTTCCGACCCCCAGCTGAGCGCATGAAAGTCTTCCTGGTAATAATTGCAGAATGAAGGCGCATGAGCATCAGCTGACACTGTTATTCCAAGGACAAATAAACTATTCAGGGAAAAAGAACAACAACTTTTCTTCTTCTTTATTTTATATATATATATTTTTTTAGACACCAATAAAAATAATGAAACCATTAAAAAAAACTTAATTTGAATGTTTCCAGATTAAAATAAACTCCCTACCAGCTGTTGCTTCAGGGCGGTGAGGGTCTCCTCCAGCCGCTGCTCCTCAGCCTCCACCGGGTCAGCGTGCGGCGCAGAGACCGGCTCCTCCCGGTCCAGCTGCAGAGCCCAGCTCACCATGTCTCTGTGTCGGTCCCTCAGCAGCCGCAGCTCCTGCAGCCCGGCCAGCGCAGCCTGCAGCCGCTCCCGGACCCTGCCGCGGTCTAGCCCGGCCGGTGCGCCCAGCGCCCCCAAGCAGGAGCCCTTCCTGCTCAGCATGCTGCAGAAAGGAGGTGAAATGCTTCAGGAAAAAAGATCCTCTTTGCAGGATGATCGCAGCTCTTATCTTTCAGCTGCCGTTCGCCACCAGTTTGGGTTTTAAACTACCTGCTGGAATAAAATTGGAGCCCGGAGAAGAGTTTGGGCTCCTCCCACATACTGAGGGGCCCTCCTCCTACCAGGGCAACCGGTTTTCAAGGAACATCTGTTTGTAATTTGAAACAGTCTGAGGTTACCTATGTAAAGTATCCCATCTAAATAGAAAAAAATCCGTTTTAATATTTCCCTTCTTATGTCTGCTATCATTTCTCTTTATTCGTAAGCTACATCAATAATTACAGATAAATATCCTTGTCTAAACGAAACACCCTGTTTTTTCCCCCAGTAAATATGAGGAAATCCACGCATAGTAAGAAAAGAATTCTTACTAGAATAGAAAAAAGAGAGAGAATAGAAAAAAGAGAAGAATTTTTAAAATTCTTCTTAAAAGATGCGCCAGTAATTCACGAATAAACACATTTCAGGAGTGCAGAGGAAACATTTTGCACAGGAAGACCAAAGACCTCTCACTGCCTCAGTTACCACGGATAAATGTCTCCCTCTGGTGGACAAACGGAATGCAACAGCTTGTTTTAATGCAGACTCTACCCAACGTTCACTATTATACCGGTTCACTTTTTTAGTGACATCACCAACGTGAATGCATTTTATGGAAGCCCGTTTCCGCCACTCTGTTAAAAAAAATAAAAATAAAAAAATCTAATTTTAATGAGTTACTATCTACGGAAGAGGATTAGGGCCACTGGAAAAAAAAATGTTAACTGATTTTTTTTATTTTATTTCAGTATAGTATGGGAAAAAAAAAGCCCGAATTCTGACTTTAATCTCAGAATTCTGACTTTTTTCTCAGAATTCTGACTTTTTTAAAATCAGAATTCTGACTTTAATCTCAGAATTTTGACTTTTTTATTGTCAGAATTCTGACTTTTTTCTCAGAATTCTAAGATTAAAGTCCGAATTCTGACTTTAATCTCAGAATTCTGACTTTTTTCTCAGAATTCTGACTTTAATCTCAGAATTCTGACTTTAATCTCAGAATTCTGACTTTTTTATTGTCAGAATTCTGACTTTTTTCTCAGAATTCTAAGATTAAAGTCCGAATTCGGACTTTAATCTCAGAATTCTGACTTTTTTCTCAGAATTCTGACTTTTTTATTGTCAGAATTCTGACTTTTTTCTCAGAATTCTAAGATTAAAGTCCGAATTCGGACTTTAATCTCAGAATTCTGACTTTTTTCTCAGAATTCTGACTTTTTTTAAATCAGAATTCTGACTTTAATCTCAGAATTCTGACTTTTTTCTCAGAATTCTGACTTTAATCTCAGAATTCTGACTTTTTTTAAAATCAGAATTCTGACTTTAATCTCAGAATTCTGACTTTTTTCTCAGAATTCTGATTTTAATCTCAGAGTTCTGACTTTTTTCTCAGAATTCTGACTGAATTCTGACAATAAAAAAAGTCAGAATTCTGAGATTAAAGTCAGAATTGACTTTTTTCCAATACTAAATTGAAATAAAATTTTAAAATCAGTAAACTTTTAGTTTTTTTCAGTGGCCCTAATCCTCTTCCGTAACTATCTCATTATAATGAGAAAATTAATTTTTTTAACAGAGTGGCAGAAAGGGGCTTCCAAAGTATTTCATTAGGATTCCATTAATATGGAGAAAATAAATCAGTCAATATTGGTAAATTTGAAGTGAATGAAACAAGAAAATACATTTTCTTTAAATCTTTAAAAAATGGGGGAAAGTGACAACTTTTATAAGGAGCATCTGTGAAATCAAAGGATTGTGAATACAGTTGATGCAGATGGACAGTTTAAAAAAAAAATTTTGTGAGATTTTCAATGTGTTTCTTTTTAATGTAGAAAATATTGGGTACAACACAACTTATTTATGCTTGAGTTTTAAACCAAATCTTAAAAAAAAAAAAACCTTTTCACCATCCAGTTTTTCTGTAGAGTGCTGGTTTTTGATTTTTCATGATAAAAAGAAAGGAAACAACTGTACCCCTAACACTTGCAAATAGTATATTTTTTATCATTTCTCTACGTGTATTTATATGTATTTAAAATATTTTTGGATATATGTTTAAAGTCCGAGGGAAATCATATTTAAATGTCAAATTATTCTGGCTTAAAGATGTATATAAATGTACTCTTTATCACACTATATTGTCCCAAAATGTAGAAAAATTCTTTAAAAAAAATAAAATAAAATAAAAATTAAAAATGAATTCTGTCTTAAAATCTGTGGGGTTTTTTTTTTTGTTATCTTCTGCAGGCCAGTTAGTTATCCGTCAGCCTGAACACCTAAATTTGGCCAATATATATCAACGATCACCTGTCAATCAAATATTTTCGGTCATAGCATCTTGATTGATATATCTCAGCTAATATACGCAACGGTTGAAATCAAAAATCAGATTCCTTTCCCATTGAGTTGCGTCCCAGTGTTCACGGGGATGGACGTCTGTGTCTTCAGCAGGCGTAGAGCTAACAGAACTGGCAGCATTGCGAGGCAAGGGCTCAAACATGTACGGCTGGAAGCCTTCTACACCAAACCAAGCTTCTGCCGCCCTGGCGTCCTCTTCCACAACATCTTCGTCCCCGCTTTCCTCCTCTAAACTGGTTCCACGCCGAGGACAAGGGCAGACTGCAGGGTGTCATCCAGTCTGCAGAGAAGGTGATTGGCTGCAATCTTCCATCTCTCCAGGATCTATATACCTCCAGGACTCTGAGGCATGCAGGGAAGGTTGTAGCTGATCCCATCCACAAACTATTTCAGTCAGTTCCATCTGGCGGGACGCTGCGGTACGTTCAATTCAATCCAGTTTATTTCTATAGCGCCAATTCACAGCACATGTCATCTTAAGGGACTTCAGGGACTACAGTTCACCAGATGATCCAGTCAGATTGATTTAAAATTTTTGAACTAAGGAGAACTAGTTGATTGCATCAACTCATTGACTCGAATGCAATCCCCCACAATAAGCATGCTTGTAGCGACAGTGGAGAGGAAAAACTCCCTTTTAACAGGAAGAAACCTCCAGCAGAACCAGGCTCAGTGTGAGCGGCCATCTGCTGAGGCCGACTGGGGTTCAAGGAGACAGAAGCAGAGATATAAAAGATATATAAAGGCGGCCCCGTCCAGGAAACACAAAGCCAGGCAGACGAGCTCCGACCCAGCTCCCATGTCAGAGGAGAAACAGGACTACACTGGAAAAACAGACCGATCTATAAACAAACTAAATGCAATGTAAAGGCAGTATCAGGCATATTGAATACATCACAACAAATTATAAAGTTTAAATAAATTACAAACCAAATATTTTCTTATACTCCTAAAATTATCTATTGCATCTAAAAATCAACCGGTAAAAAATATGGATGGAAATTTCCAATTCTTCCCTGCTGTCTCTGTTATCAGCCATTTTATCTGTAGTCATCTTTTTTACTGGAAGACAAAACAAAACAACAAAAATAGTCTGAAAAATGTATTATCATTGTCATGGTTCCATTAAATATGAACTTACACTAAAGGATGTCACAAGTACTTTCAAGTATGTCTGTGCCGCTAAATTTCACGGATGTTTGCAGCCAAACAACAATGTGACTCATAGGTTCAGTATTTGTGTTTTTTCCGGCTGAGCGGTCGCTCATCTATCTGAAGCGAATGAGGCACTTGTTTTCAATGTCAACAATCTGATAGCAAATAAAACAAAGGCGCGACCGAGCGCTCACCTAAAGATGAGGCCTCATGCTTCACATTCACTTTCCCTGAGTAGCGTCTCACAGGTTGGGAGGCCTTTTTGTGACTATCTGCTTCTTTTTGCAAGGAAGAACTAAAATACCTGAAAAGATTCACACCTGTGGGAGCAGATAAGGTGAATAAGGTATTTAAGATTCAGGTATTATCTTCTTTTCTGGGATTATGAGGACTACGCCCAGAGCTGAATGTATCTCAGTGATGCAGCGTGGGAAGTTGCTGTGGAAGGAACTGATTCTGTGAGCAGATGTGCTTCCTGCTGATAATAAAAAACACAATCAAAAGATGGTTGATATATGCCACATCAAAAAGGAATCCTTGGTGGGTTCTGGGTGGACATCATTTGTATTTCACTCTAAAACATGCAGCAGTTTGAGTGGTGAAACTTAAGCTTTTTGGTTTCTTGCTTCTCTGCAAGGAAGAAAGCTAAAACCTGTGCTTATGTAGCACTTTTTCAAGTCAGGAGACTTGACCAAAGCGCTTTACACTACATTCATTTATTCATTCAACCATTCACACACACGCTGATGGTGGTAAAATACATTGTAGCCACAGCTGCCCTGGGGCTCACTGACAGAAGCGAGGCTGCCGTGCACTGGCGCCACCGGGCCCTCTGACCACCATCGTTAGGTAATGTAGGTGAAGCGTCTAGCCCAAGGACACAACGACACTGAAAGCCAGACCCGTGGCTTGAACCGACAACCCTCCGGTTGGAGTGCAAACTTCTGCACCCGATGCTACTGTTGCCCCTCAAGACACCATAAATTATGACTTTATTGCAGCCACTGTTCTAAAAACATTAAAGACAAAGTCCAGTCAGGAAGGAATAATCAATGGGTCATTATCTATACCTTAAACTAATACGTTTACACTGATTTAATGAATTAAGCTTTAATCACAAAAAAATAAAAATAATAATTTTCGTCTCGATCACTGAGTCCGGGAGCGGCCATTTCTCCATTCTCGGCGCTTTACAAGAAAAATCAATGGGAACTACTAGACACATCTGCAATCAACAACAATTATTGAAGATTTCCAGGACTTCACCATTGAAATTCACCAGAGCTATAGTGAAACTGACAATGCCCACGTGCATGGCAGTTGGATGTGAAATGAATTTAGTATTTATCAAAAAATAAAAACGTTAAAGCGTTAAAAACTAGGGATGCACGATGTTGGGATTTTGGCCGATATCCGATATGCCGATATTTTAAAACTCATGTAGCCGATAACCGATATCGATACTGATGTTAAAGCTGGACAAAAATAAGTAGTCAT